ATCTTAAGTCTAATGCTAAATAATCAGCTTATATCAGCAGATTGCACAGTCCTATGGTACATCTGGAGGGACGCAGTGCCTCAGTGGCTAAGACACTGAGCTTGTCAATCAGAAAGGTCAGCAGTTCGGCGGTTTGAATCCCTAGTGCCGCATAATGGAGTGAGCTCCCATTACTTGTCCCAGCTTCTGCCAACCTAGCAGTTCGAAAGCACGTAAAAAAATGCAAGTAGAAAAATAGGAACCACCTTTGGTGGGAAGGTAGCAGCATTCCATGTGCCTTTGACATTTAGTCATGCTGGCCACATGACCACGGAGACGTCTTCAGACAACACTGGCTCTTCAGTTTTGAAGCAAAGATGAACACTGCCCCCTAGAGTCTGGAATGACCAGCACATATGTGCAAGGAGAACCTTTACGTTTACCTTATGGTACATCTAGTTCTCATTGCACGCCAGATGACTAGGTCTCTATGTTTCTACTGTTCTCCTTGGCTAGCTATGTATCATGACTCTAATATGTGAGTTGATATTCCATGGATTCTGCCAATTGGTGCTCTAAAAAAAACTTGTTTTGTATCTTGTGGATGTTTTACACCCTGTTGTTGTGCTTTGTGATTCAGGTATGAATATGATTTGATCCTCAGTCCTGACATCAACAGTGCCCAGTACCATCAATGGTTCTACTTTGAGGTCAGTGCCATGAAGGCTGCCATTCCTTACCACTTCAACGTCATCAACTGTGACAAGCCAAACAGCCAGTTTAATTATGGTAAGAGTTGTCATATTGCAGGAGGGGTTGGGCCCATTGTCCATGGTTAGACCCTTTCCTGGGAAAGTCAAGTGAATAAGCCCTTAAAACATGGGTTCTCCAGAGCTCTTCTATTTCACCTTTTATATTTTGTACTGAGATAATTTCCATACTGGTGTCTAGTTATATGGCATTCCAACCACTTCCTTCCTTGGGCAGGTAAATTAAAGTGATAAATTAAAGTGATAAATCTAAGTGATAAATTAAAATTCAGCAACAAAAATCCTCTTCTTTGATAGAATAAATTGAAAACTATATGTTTTCTTTCTCTGGCCATAAGACAAATGAGGGCATGGAGAGAAAATGAAAGATAGCCAAAGTGGAGAGAATGTAAAGTTGGAGTAAATCAATAGTTGTGAATAAGGATGGAAGACACCAAAGGGTGGCTCAGATGGTATTTACTTGTCATTTATTATTATGCTGCCATCTTATATAAGTGAAGTAAGAGAAGCAAAAAATAATCAGTTTGGTATAGTGATTAAAGGCTAGCCTAGGCTAGAGACTGGGAGACCAGGAGTTCTAGTTCTGCCTTGTTCATGAAGCCAGCTGGATGATCTTGGGCCAATTACTCTCTCTCAGCCGTAGAAAGAAGAAGGCAAGGGTCAACTATGTCTGAAAATATTGCCAAGAAAACTTGAGGGATATAACAGAAGTTACCTATGACCCGAAGGCAGAGGTGGTATTCAGCAGGTTCTGACCAGTTCTGGAGAATCGGTAGCGGACATTTTGAGTAGTTCGGAGAACCAGCAAATACCACCTCTGACTGGCCCCACCCCCATCTATTCTCTGCCTCCAAAGTCCCAGCTGCTCGGGAGGAAATGGGATTTTGCAATAACCTTCCCCTGGAGTGGGGAGGGAATAGAGATTTTACAGTAACCTTTCCCTGCCATGCCCACCAAGACCTGCCCACCAAGACACGCCCACAGAACCAGTAGTAAAAAATTTTTTGAATCCCACCACTGCCCGAAGGCAAAAAAAGTCAGAAGACTCAAAGCCTCATGTCTCAAGTATCAGCAACATGGGAGCCATAGAAAGGGAGTTTGAGTTTTTTGTCATTTGGAAACTTGGTTTTAACTCCTAGGAACGGAGCTTCTGAAAGACAATGCCCTCAATTACAGTGGAACTCTGAAATCACATAATACCAATTTTATTGCAATAGATTTCTTAATACTTTCTTTAATAATATAACCTGCATAAATTACAGCTGAGCTTGTTTTCAAACCCATCCATTTTTTAATTATAGTTTCCCCGGATCTTGCAATTTGGGGAAAGCAGTGAAAATTCTCTGTGAGAATTACTGTTGCCCTTTCTGCTACCAGATCCTGAAGGAGGGAAGCTCCATGTCCCAAATGAAAAAAAAAATTGGAAAGATGGGAGAGATACAGAAGGAGATGTGTGCTCTGGACACCTGACTTCTGAAATCTGAAAAGGCGCTTGAGGTTTTGCTCAGCCAGATGTTTTTCTGCAAGATTGGAAGTCTTGTGCAAGGCAGTTGTTCTCTCATAAGGCTTTCCTGCTGAAGAGAAGCAAGTCAGAACAGGGGTGGCAGCTTTATAAAATCAAAGTAATTTGGGGTTACGGCGCAGAGCCCAATAATGTACACTTTGATGTATATCTATCAGAGAAACGATGATGGCTTGGGTTCAAGAAAGTTAAAAACAGAAATAATATGGAAGGAGAACTTGTAGTCTCATATATAACACTGGGGCAATTTCAGTTGTGCAGGTTGAACAACCGATGTGCAGAACTATTCAAATGTAAGATCAGCCATCAAAATGTACTACACAACAGTTTTTTATTTTCCCCCGAATGGAAAACCATTTGGAGGTATCTGGAAATATCATTGAAGACATCAGAGGAGGTCAGGTCAATCAAGGTCATACAGTCTAGGATTGGCCCCAAAAGATTTTGCTTTGAATTTGCACAGCATTTTAGATTGTCAGCAGTGGAGATGCATCAGGAAGTCCTTGTGATATTAAAAAAAATATTATTTCTGTCTTCATCCCTAAACTTATGACTATAATCATGTTGCTTGTATCTTTCAATTTATATTGTTTTATTTGTTTACTAGTACAATTTGATAGTTTAACCTTGACTATCACTAAGTGTTTTATCATTTTATTCTTGATNAAAGAAAGAGATAATCTAAAAAAGGAATCCCAACAAGAAGTTTCCTTCTGGGCATGTTCTTCACTACCACCTCAGCTCTTCTTTTTCTTTACCACAGGGCCAAAATATTTGATGACATCCGCCGTGTGGTCCAACCAGCTGATATAATCAAGCGAGTTGTCTTCAATTTAGACAGCTCTGAGTAAGTGAATTTTGTTAGCTGAGGCCATTGTTAGTGAGTCATGGACACTTGATGTCCTTCCTCCCCCTCTGCAGATTTATAAAATCTTCCCTGGAGGGTCCTCTTCTGGAGGCAGGATGAAGACAAAGCCAAGGTAGTGTGGTGACACTATACTTGGACTTGAACTGGAGGAACCCAGGTTCAAGTACTAACTAGTATGAAAATCTTGCTGTTAGTCTGGGGAGTAATTTTCTATCAGCCCAAACTTCCCCATAGGATTGTGGGTGTAGAGTTAAATGCACTGTGATCTCTATATAAGCCACCTTGTTCTCCCAGCAAAAAAAGGGCAGATGTAAATACAATTGGAAACTTAATGGGAACCTAATCATTATGAACTACCTCTGTTTCTGTGAGTCCCAGTGCTTTCTACTATTTTTTCCAGTGGTGAACAGGTCTAGCTATTTCTCAGTCAGCTTTGCACTAATTGTGTTGCCTTTTGTTTCAGTTCTTTGCAGTCAGATCAACAAAACAGCTTAAAATTCTTTTCCAAATTTGAATCTGGGAATCTCCGTAAAGCCATCCAAGTGCGGGAGTAAGTATTGCAAATAGCCCCAGCAGAGTGTTCCAGGCCATTTGGGGAAAGGCCATGATGGAAGGCAAAGAGATGCTTAGGATTTGCCAACATTATCTAGTGGGGAAAATTTGGATCATAATGTTTAACTTTTTCCAAATCCATCATATTAGTAGAGGAATATCTTCGCAGCACAGTTGTTAAGAAAAGTTATTTTCAGAAGACAGAAATGACCCAAGGAAGAAATTACTAGATTACCAGATTGATCATGCTCATTCTCAAAGTACTGTTTCAGGAGATCGACAAATGTTTGGCAGCTTCAGATGTTTCCCTAGCCTTATGTGGAATGCAGTGGTTTGGAGTTCCAGCCATTGAGCCAAACCACCATATATCTTAAGTCTAATGCTAAATAATCAGCTTATATCAGCAGATTGCACAGTCCTATGGTACATCTGGAGGGACGCAGTGCCTCAGTGGCTAAGACACTGAGCTTGTCAATCAGAAAGGTCAGCAGTTCGGCGGTTTGAATCCCTAGTGCCGCATAATGGAGTGAGCTCCCATTACTTGTCCCAGCTTCTGCCAACCTAGCAGTTCGAAAGCAC